TCGTCACGAACTGTGCATGCTGAAGAATTTCAAGCGCGCCACTCGAGCAGCGGTTCTCAACCTGTGGGTCGCGACCCTTTTGTAGGTCGAACGATCCTTTCACGCGTCCGTGGCTTAGGCGCTGCGAGTCCGACTCGTAACTCCAACGTACCGTGATCGAAACCCACTGCTAGCTGCGTGGATTTTCATCGTGGTATGGGGCGTCGTCCTTTGGATAGTAAAGACGGCCGCCCTAATGCTGACCACATGGTCTGTAAAAAACATGGGTGCTCTGCCCTTATGCCCGAAAAGGCGTGAAAAGGGATCTTTAGACAGGAGTCGCTCTTTATGGTTAGGCCGCGTTAGCGCAGTCGATAAGAGGCTCGCTTTCAAATCCAGCTTCGACTCGCTGCAGCCCACGGCCGGTGTTCGAAACCGGGCGGCTCCCGGGGTTCACCCAGCCTCGAGGAAATGGGTACCAGAGTTGAAACTCTGGGGTAAATGGAGGAACGTCGCTGTAGCCACAGAGTTATGTGCTGACGGCGACACAGGCGGACAATTCTTATCAACAGTCCGTACTGGTGGCAGAGTACTTATGGTTTATAACCGTGTGCAATGACGCTGGTTCACATCTCCCGACTTTACCTTTACCTTTAAGGTACTGTATTACATGGTCGCGGCATTAGGAAAGGTGAGAACCACTGCTCACCTTACCGATGATTCGAACCGGGGTCTCCCGAATTAACAGCCCGCTCGGCCAGTCCCTCTTCATCCCCAGTCTTGTACTGTACGGAACCTAGCACAACCGAAACGGCGTATTTTAGGCCGCCCTACTCTAGTGGTCCCACTGCCCACCTCCACACACTCAACACATCCATTCATCCAAGTCAACGCCGGCTGCCCAAGTATGGAGTGCTAAACACTCAACAATTGTCGGGAAATTTCCTAGTCTTTTCAATGAGTCACAGAAACACTCCAGGATTCTCGCGCTTTTCCGCCTACTTTTTTGCGTGTGTTCGGTCACTGAATGTGTAACACCGGATTCAGATTGTGTATCTGTATATCATAGCAGGGTCAAAGCGACACAGAGAGCATGGAGGGGGGGAGGGGCGATAATGATACTCTGAATAACAAATAAACGTTATAATGCAGATATATACAGTGCATAGGATGCGTGAGAGAGAGAGAGAGAGAGAGAGAGAGAGAGAGAGAGAGAGAGAGAGAGAGAGAGAGAGAGAGAGAGAGAGAGAGAGAGAGAGAGAGAGAGAGAGAGAGAGATGTATCAGTCAGTCCCCGAGCGTCAGGACTGTCTCAGTGTGATGAAAGTCTGTGAAATGCCGTCCCGAATAGCTTCGCGCTGACAGATCAAGAGTTCAAATTATTTTTTTCCTGATTACGTTGCTAATGCCACCCTCACCCTCTTTAATGGTGCCGCGTGATGCGGCCCGATCTCTGTAATATAGCATGGCCGTGAAATGAATCATAGATATTTAAAAAGAAAACATCGTTACATGGTTAGGGTATCCGCTGAAAATTTTCTAGAGGCCAACCTCTCCTATTTTTTTGGTGGGTGGGTGGGTTGGGGGGATGTCAAAGTGCCTCAGCTCGCATATTCCGGAATCTATTGACTATATGTGCTAAAATTGCCCCTTTTCTTATTCTTATTCAAACGACAGTAAACATAATCATGGAAATGAGAGAGGGGGAAAAAGGGGGGGGGGGCAGTACAAGGAGTTATCAAAAAGCTAAGAATGAAAAAAGTTGATTTAAAAAAAGGGGGAGGGGGAGGTGGGAGACTAGTAAAATACTTGGGCTACATCCAAAGTAATGACATTTTTGGGGGTTTAATTTCAATCTAAAGGGGAAGATGAACTAGTCAGCTCCCCAGCAAAACATTAACATGAACGACAAATAAATGCTGCGGCTAGAAAGTCTTCATCAGCACAGCAGATACAAGTCTGGGGGGATAACATCACGATCTGGATGAACATCCGTTTTCAGAGAGTTTACAACCAGAACAAGAGATGCAGTTTTGGAGATTCATTTTTGCCAAACCTTCTCTGTGGAGACGCCACCTGACTGAATGTTTGCTTGCGCAGCCTCCCTTCAGTATTAGCATGTGCACGATGTAACAACTACAAAAATCAAACATTTGTAACAACCGCAGCGCGCCAACCCCCAACCCCCCCCCCCCCCCCCCCTCTGTTCACGCAGATGGCAAGCAGATTTAACGCGACGGCTGCGTAAACTCCTGCATAAACACACTTCTAGCGATTCATACACTTCATACAATTTGACAGGCTGGGTAAATCCCATTCTATTCAACTCTTCCACAAATGTGGTTAAGGTATTACCAAATGTGGTTAATGAAATCATAATTACACAGAACCGGCACATCCTAACAAACATTCAAGACGCCATAAAACGCTGCCGTTTATGAGGTCGGGTTCTATAAATAAAAAAGTGGGAGGTTCATAAAGCTCTAAATGTTTTAGAAATGCAGCCAAGCCTGAGATGTTCCACATTGTAACCAACCCATCAAAGGGCAAGTGTGACAAGTCGTGAATTCCCCAAGATCCGAGGCAACAGTGTGTGGGATTTAGGTTAACTTACCGAGGTTTAGCAGTGAGATGGATGGGGTCGTGGGAAGGCTAGTAGATATTGAAATGACAGTTAAGGGTTTAAAGAATTGTGCCCAAAAAGTGAAATAACAGAAATAATTCAGGGAATGACCAAATTAAATTTATAGAGTTATGGATTAACTGAAAAAGAGGGATAGAAAAACAAGGAGAAAAGAAAAGGAAGTAGTTGGAGAGGGGGGAGGAGGGCAGAGGGAATGAGGACAGAGAAGGGGAGAGTGAGCAGCGCATTAAGTACACAAAAATAAAACCAAACATTGGGGGGGGGGGGGGGGGAAATTACCAGGAAATAAACAAAAACCACTTTTAAAAAAAAACATTTCATTAGGCAATCTGGAATTTGATTTGTGAGTTTTCGGTACTATCAGTATTGGAACTCTGCGCTGGCTGCTAAAGATGAGGACAAAGCATGCATGTGAATGACCTGAGTGCTGTGATGTCAATTCGTGACTCAACTCAACTTTTAAAACAAATAATGAAAAGAAATCAGGTAAGGATTCAAGACAAGGCAGTTATAGATCACACATTGGCTGGAACTCTTCTTAGCCTTTACCGGCTTTTAACTCCTGCAGAAATGTATGGTTGTTTGGTCATCTCTGGACTTTTGCACTCTGACTCTAAAGGAAGCCCCCAGTTAGCTGACTCATGACATTCTTGTTGGGGAGGCAGTGGGTCCACCCTTGTTCCCTCCCCCCCCCCCACAATGGGACCCCGGAACCCATAAGGGGAGGCTGGGATCCAAGACAAAGAGTCGATCTGTATCATGCTCTGTTTGGGACATCACACATTACACACGCAGAGCCAATGACACACTGGTCTGAACAAACCCTATAACCAACCACACATCACACACTCGCTGGGTTTCAAGACAATGAACCAATCACACACTGGTTGGGATTCACCACATAACCAACCACACATCACTCACTCGCTGGGTTTCAAGACAATGAACCAATCACACACTGGTTGGGATTCAAGACAAAGAGCCAGCTATACATCACACGTTGTGCATTTGTTGGGATTCAAGACAAAGAGCCAGCTATACAACACACGTTGTGCATTTTTTGGGATTCAAGAAAAAGAGCCAGCTATACAACACACGTTGTGCATTTTTTGGGATTCAAGAAAAAGAGCCAGCTATACAACACACGTTGTGCATTTGTTGGGATTCAAGACAAAGAGCCAGCTATAAAACACACATTGTGCATTTGTTGGGATTCAAGACAAAGAGCCAGCTATACAACACATGTTGTGCATTTGTTGGGATTCAAGACAAAGAGCCAGTTATACAACACACATTGTGCATTTGTTGGGATTCAAGACAAAGAGCCAGCTATACAACACACATTGTGCATTTGCTGGGATTCAAGACAAAGAGCCAGCTATTACAACACACGCTGTGCATTTGTTGGGATTCAAGGCAAAGAACCAGTTATACAACACACATTGTGCATTTTTTGGGATTCAAGACAAAGAGCCAGCTATTCAACACAAGCTGTACATTTGTTGGGATTCAAGACAAAGAGCCAGTTATAGAACATACATTGTGCATTTGCTGGGATTCAAGGCAAAGAGCTAGTTATACAACACACATTATGCAATTGTTGGGATTCAAGACAAAGAGCCAGCTATTCAACACATATGGATTTAAGACAAAGATGCCACACATCACAAACTGGGATTTAAGACAAAGAGCCAACCACACATCACACATTACTGGGATTTAAGACAAAGAGCCAACCACGCATCACACATTACTGGGATTTAAGACAAAGAGCCAACCACACATCACACATTACTGGGATTTAAGACAAAGAGCCAACCACACATCACACATTAGTTTGGATTGAAGACAAAAAGCCAATCACATATCACACACTGGCTGGGATTTAACTCTTTGAGTCCCAACGAATGCATCATACGTTCACAGGTTACCAATGAATGCATGATGCGGCAGATTTTACGTCTTTCTTGACTACCCCTTGGACCTGTGATGCTAAACCCTCTGGGACTCAAAGAGTTAAGACAAAGAGCCAATCACACATGACATACTGCCTGGGATTCAAGACAAGAAACCACATGATACACTGGCTAGGATTTTTTTATTTTTTGTAACAGCCAACACACATTGCACATTAGCTGGGATTTAAGACAAACAGCCAACCACACACCATAGATTAGTTGGGATTAAGTCCAAGAGCCAATCACACTTGACAAATTGGCTAACATTGAAGACAAAGAGCCAACCACAAATCATACATTAGTTGGGATTCAAGACAAAAAGCCAATCACACATCAAACACTTGCTGTAATTCAAGACAAAGCGATGGCTGGAACTAAAAGAGTTAACATACCACAACCACACGATCACAAGTAACTCACCTTGTATATGTTATCCACCACATGCATCGCTGCAATATTTGGAGCATTTTTGCGCTTCAATGCTGGGCATTCTCTGTTAATACTTTCAAAGAACAGCTCCAGCTCTTCAAACGTGTCATACATCATCCCACTTAAGTCCTGCCCAGTTTTGCTTTTGCCTGAATTGACCATGACAACTGGGTACTTCTTACTCCAGCCTGCAGCAAAGTTCTTGGGAGGGCAGTCAGCCTGAACCGTGAACACCTTGAAATCGATATCATCCTGGCACTCTCCCAGGATGCAGGTCATCATGAAGAACTGTTGGCAAATTGGGCATGATCCTTTGGTTTCTTTGTCAATAGCTGATGCCTGTTAATAGCAAACAGATGTTTATCTTTTTCTTTAATGAAAAATTGAATGGACAGAATGAACTATACTAAAGCTGTGAAAAGACAATGAGTCAACGAGAAAGTAGAAACGTTCAACTTTACAAGAATACAATCATGTAAACATAAAGGACAATTCAGCTAGAATCAGTGAATAAAATAAAAAGATAAGCGTAAATCATCATAGCCATGTATATATATATATATATATATATAAATTTTTTTAAAGTCTGTATTTACCACTTGGCGATGAAGAACCACAGGGTTGTGGATGCCAGGTCGCATGACTAGTGCAGTTGCCACAAACTGTGCAGGTCAGGATTTTTATTTGGTTGGACTCCTTTGCGTCCAACAGAAAATACAATTCCCTACTAAGGAACAAACCTGGGTCTCCTGCATGACAGCCAATTGTTCCAACCATTCAACCAGCTGCAGTCTCAGTTCAGTATTTTATATCTTCTCCTTATTTTACCTAAAACAGCACTGACACATTGTGCTGTGGTTTACAGGTAGGCTGTGATATCTGCAACCTTTCAGTCCAGCACATCCAATTTCAGCAAACTCCGAATCAGTTGCCTTTGATGACATGCCTGTGAGGTTTTATTCCTTTCCCACAAGAAACTGGGTCCTGGAACCTACACAGTGAACTTCCTACAGATTTAATATCTGTTCATCGAGAACATCAATAATATTTAAATTGAATACCTGATGACTTCTGTTGCTAACAGTTACTACTTTCATTCACTCTGCCATACTTTTTATCTTCTTTCCCAGACAGCTCCTACCCCCCCCCCCCCATTTCACAAGAGAGGTTTACATAACTCCCTTCTTCCCCATTGTAACAGTAGGTACCTAATTCTGTTTTCTCCACTGTAACAGTTGGTACCTAGTTCTGTTTTCTCCACTGTAACAGTTGGTATCCTAATTCTGTTTTCTCCACTGTAACAGTTGGTACCTAATTCTGTTCTCCACTGTAACAGTTGGTACCTAATTATGTTTTCTCCACTGTAACAGTAGGTACCTAATTGTGTTTTCTCCACTGTAACAGTAGGTACCTAATTGTGTTTTCTCCACTGTAACAGTTGGTACCTAATTCTGTTTTCTCCACTGTAACAGTAGGTACCTAATTATTCTGTTTTCTCCACTGTAACAGTAGGTACCTAATTCTGTTTTCTCCACTGTAACAGTAGGTACCTAATTCTGTTTTCTCCACTTAAACAGTAGGTACCTAATCTGTTTTCTCTACTGTAACAGTAGGTACCTAATTTTGTTTTCTCCACTTTAACAGTAGGTACCTAATTCTGTTTTCTCCACTGTAACAGTAGGTACCTAATTCTGTTTTCTCCACTTAAACAGTAGGTACCTAATCTGTTTTCTCTACTGTAACAGTAGGTACCTAATTCTGTTTTCTCCACTTTAACAGTAGGTACCTAATTCTGTTTTCTCTAATGTAACAGTAGGTACCTAATTCTGTTTTCTCCACTGTAACAGTTGGTACCTAATTATGTTTTCTCCACTGTAACAGTTGGTACCAAATTCTGTTTTCTCCACTGTAACAGCTGGTACCTAATTGTGTTTTCTCCACTGTAACAGTAGGTACCTAATTCTGTTTTCTCCACTGTAACAGTTCTCGCACTGTAACAGTTAGTAATTCTGTTTTCTCCACTGTAACAGTAGGTACCTAATTCTGTTTTCTCCACTGTAACAGTTGGTACCTAATTCTGTTCTCCACTGTAACAGTTGGTACCTAATTCTGTTTTCTCCACTGTAACAGTTAGTACCTAATTCTGTTTGATCCACTGTAACAGTTGGTAAATAATTCTGTTTTCTCCACTGTAAAAGTTGGTACCTAATTATGTTTTCTCCACTGTAACAGTAGGTACCTAATTGTTTTCTCCACTGTAACAGTTGGTACCTAATTCTGTTCTCCACTGTAACAGTTAGTACCTAATTCTGTTTTCTCCACTGTAACAGTAGGTAACTAATTCTGTTTTCTTCACTGTAACAGTAGGTACCTAATTCTGTTTTCTCCACTGTAACAGTTGGTACCTAATTATGTTTTCTCCACTGTAACAGTAGGTACCTAATAATGTTTTCTCCACTGTAACAGTTAGTACCTAATTCTGTTTTCTCCACTGTAACAGTTAGTACCTAATTCTGTTTTCTCCACTGTAAAAGTTGGTACCTAATTCTATCTTCCCCCTTTAACAGTTGGTACCTAATTCTAACTTTCCCACTGTAAAAGTTACATTATTGTATCCTCTACATCAGGCAGTTGTTATCTAATTCCCTCTTTCCCACCAAACTTGTGACTTAACTCCCTTTTCCCCACCAGACTTGTTACTGAACTCCCTCTTTGCCACCAGACTTGTCAATTAACTCCCTCTTCGCCATCAGGCTTGTCATATAACTCTCTGTTCCCCACCAGACCTGTTACCTAACTCCCTCTTCCCCACCTGACTTGTTACATAACTCACTCTTCTTCATCTTGCAGTAATTACTCAACTCCCTCATCCCTAGCAGACAGTGCAATAATTTCCTAACAGAAAGCTGTTAACCATCTTTCCTTCCCTGCAGCCCTGTGTTATGCCCCCACCACCGCCATCAACTTTTCTCCCGCCATCAGACAGATGTTGTCCCTTCCCTTCCCAAAAAATAGGCAGCCCCCCCCCCCCCCCCCCTCCTCCAATACAGGTCTTACTCTCAACTCCATCCTCTCCAGCAGACCATTGCTATTTTCAACTTTCGGTACCTGAAGATTTGGCAGCAGATATCCAAAAAAACGAAAAAGGCATGAAAAGTACCACTACATGCTGAATATTACTACTACACAAGAAAAATAAGCCTCTTCTAATCCTAAAGAGTGTACCTTTAAACTTTCTTTGCTTAAACCGCCTAAATTATTTCAACTTGTTAAATCAATAATGGATGATTAGAGTGACTAGATAAAAGAAATTAATTAAACATTAAATGTATAGATTAGCTGACTCGATAGAGACAAATAAAACTAAATAACCACTAACGTTAACTAAACAGTTAACTAATTAACTAGTTTCTTGTAAAGCTGCCTTCGTTATAGTTACTGTTAACGATAATATTAGTAATATTACTATTGTACATTTTTACACAAAAAGTGAGTATGCAATTGATGAGATGAAACTTCAGATAATTAAACTGCAATCCGTTAGCTTAAAGAGGACATTATCAACCCAGTATCGGTTTAAATCTACTAATAGTATTAGCGGGGGCGATATATAGGCTAGTTCATATCCTGATGAGTATCATTTATTTAGTACATTAGAGTCCTGTGTAGTCACTTCATAGTTAATGTATATTTGTTTATTATGTGTGCTGTGTTGTTATTTATGTGCTGATGAATGACTAATCGCCGCAACGTCCTTTGTTTGATTCATTGTGATCGATTTTGTAACACTGACATAAACTATTTGTTCTTTCTTATCCCCTTTTACTCTTCCCTATAATTTCCTACCCTTCTAAAAACGTCTTTCAAATCTGAGTGATCCTCACAGTTGTTTTTCAGAGATTTATGGCGGGATATAGAGATTATAAGACAACAGAGAGAATGACTACAGCATGCAACGTTCGCCAAAAAAAAAATTATAAAATACACATCCTTACCTTGATATACAGATCAAACTTTATCATGTTATCCTGAGCACTGTCTTGTTCTGACATTGTGAAAACTGTAAAAGCGATCGCCAAGTGGAGAGAAATAAATGTCGACGGGTTGAATGTTGTTGTTCGTCTGTCACTGACGTCGTTCGTCTGCAGGCGGACCTCGCCCAAGATATTTGTGTCGTGCGCATGCGTACTGCGCTACAGCAATCATTAATGGAATGTTGTTTCAGGTTACCCTGTGGTGTTTTGTGACCAGGTCGTAGGCAGTTTACAATTAATTATTTCTGATTTAATTCTTTCAGTCACAGACAGTTGCCAGTTCAGACTTCTCCTACAGACAGTTGCTAGATCAGACCTCTCCTATGTAGACCTCTTCATCTCTGACTTACCTAACTCTCTCTCTTAGTTTATATTCTGGAACAGATAGTTGTTTGATCAACCCTCTTCTATGAATGAATGCATCAAGAATTGATATCACTGAACTCGAGACATTCCCACACATGCGCCGTCCTCTTCTTCGGTAACCAACGAAGAATTGACGTGCTTATGTTACCAGTTGCAACATAATTAAATTCCATCCCTGCTTTCTCTTCAATGTTAAATTTATCACAAAACCATCCCTATAGACAGTTTAAACATTTTTCGCAGATAGTTGTTAGCTCAAACCTCCCTCAAAGACAGTTGAGGTCCAAATCCCTTCCACAGACAGTGTTAGTTAAAACCTCTCTAACAGACAGCTGTCAGTTGAAACCTCCCTTTTCGTTATTTCAAACAGGACCGGATTTCAGGGTTGCCAGATAAAAAACGTAATTTTATGCCAAACTATCACCCAAAATTGCCAAATAAAGTGTAACATTGTACTCACTTCACATAAAGAGCTCTAGATTGAATTCTTTACTATCATCCTCACTAGAACCAGTGGAAGATGCAGCATCAACCTTTTTCGGAGGTAAAATCAGCATTTTCTTAGATGGAATGAAGTCTTTGCAACATTTCTTTGATATCAATAGTTCTGCTCTAATTCTGACAACTGCATCAAGAAAATCCAGTTATATTTTGTTTCTTGCTTTTGATTTAGTTGAAGTAACAAGAGAGAATATTCTCTCAACTGCAGCATTGCTAACGGGCATTATTAAGCAAGTAAGGGCGAAAGTGGCCAACTCTTTAAATGCCTGGTGTCGAAGTACACCTATCCAAAAATCTTCCCTGTTTTTAGGTAGTCCATCCTTCTTAAATGGAGCTTCTTCTTTCCAGTTGACAACAATCAGTTTTCTGTACTGTTCTTCTATAATACTGATGTTGTTTTCTGCCAGGTGTAAAAATTGTAGCTCTGAAAACTGTCCTTGATATTTGATTTAAATAAGTTTACTCCTGTAGCTACTTGCAAGGAAATTAACTCTTTGAGTCCCAATAAATGCATCATACGTTCATAAGTTCCTACTTAGAGGCCCAATGAACGCAAGATGCGCCGATTCTACGTCTCTCTTGACTACCCATTGGGCCTCTGATGCTAAACACTCAAAGAGTTAAAGCAAGAAATCCAGTAAACATTTCATTTTTCCTCTCACTGAAAAAACTAACTATAATGCATATAATATTTCTGATTAAGCATAAACATTTAGTTATGTGCAACTATATGTGCTCCCCTGACCATGCGCTCTCATGATTTCACTTAAATGATCATTTGTGCGTATTGCACAATGACAGGTCATGCCTACAGTAAGTTTCAACTCTGCTGCTTTAACTTTATAATTACTTTGCCTAGGAGTTATTGTTGTAATAGGCTGTGACTGGCTTTTTGACGGAGTTTTCATCCTGTCTTTTTCGGATTTTTCATGATTTCAATTACTAGAAATTCTTGGTGTAACAGTGCACTGACACAGTTTATAATATTCTGCCTCTGATCTGTCTGAAGATCTTTTGAGCCATGAGTATGTTTTCTTCCAATTACTATTATACTTGCGATTGCTGTCATAAGATGCTTTCCATTTTTTTGATGACGTGACCATTGGTACTAAAAGTATTAAATTCTATCACAGATAGAACTAGGTCTATATCCTATCTTTTTTCTGTCTTCAAGTAGTTTCTGAACAGTCTGAATGACTTTGTATCAGTGGTGGGTTTTCGTTTTATGTCTCGCCGTTTTATTCTAGTAAAAAGTTGTATAAATTACAAAGGTTTACATTTCTAGCAGTCTCGATCCGTTTTAGTTGAGGACAGCAAAGCAATAAGAAATGGCGCGACATCTCCGTTAGTCCACACCAGGACATCACAACAAGTCAAACTGAAATAAAGATTTTTTTCTGTAACTGTAGGGCTACATTGCTTTGTGGTAAATTTGAAGAAAATTTAAGCACATCTTGATAAGAAATGCCAGGAAAAACCCAAATATGCCAGAATATGCCAGTTTCGTTTCGTTATACGTATGCCAGTTCAATTTCAAATATGCCAGATTTGTGGAATCTGCATAGCTACAGAATCCTTAATTCAGTGTGTTTTAAATTTCAAACTATTGGGTTTTGTGAAAAATAAAAATGCCAATATGGCAACCCTGTCGGATTTCCACTTGATAGGTCCCGAAGCTGTATAAAGCCTCGAGACCCCTTCCGTTTTAAATTACACCAGATAACCTCAGCAAGTTAGAATAAACAAAACCTGAAATAATACACCCAATAAAATATTATTCATCATCATCATACCAACGGGCGTAGGCGCTCATGCGTCTCCACAGATCACGATCCCTGGTTGCCAGGAACATATCTCTTGATGATATCCCTTCATGCCATTGTTTCAGCCCATCCAGCATCTTCTCTCTTGGTCTGCCTCTACCCCTTTTCCCACTGATCTTTCCAGTTGTCACGATGTTCTCCAATGTCTCTCTTCTCATTATATGGCCAAAGAACAGTGTTTGTCTCTTTCTTATTGTTGTATATGGAGACATATTTTCATTAGCTTTAATATATTAATATTAATAAAATTAGAAAATGTCAGGGAGAGGGTGGGCGTTTAAAATATATCAAAAGAAAATTGAATTGAAAATTAATTTTAAAAAAAAAAAGAAAATTCAATTGTGAAAGGAAAAACTGTCATTTTTTTAAGACCCTGCAGAAGCCTTCATCTGCAGCTAATGTAGCTTATATATAAATCCAATACTGAGTTCAAACCCCTCTCACAAACAGTTGCTAGATCAAACCCCTCTCACAAACAGTTGCTAGATCAAACCCCTCTCACAAACAGTTGCTAGATCAAACCCCTCTCACAAACAGTTGCTAGATCAAACCCCTCTCACAAACAGTTGCTAGATCAAACCCCTCTCACAAACAGTTGCTAGATCAAACCCCTCTCACAAACAGTTGCTAGATCAAACCCTCTCACAAACAGTTGCTAGATCAAACCCCTCTCACAAACAGTTGCTAGATCAAACCCCTCTCACAAACAGTTGCTAGATCAAACCCCTCTCACAAACAGTTGCTAGATCAAACCCCTCTCAATATTAGTATATCCTCCTTGTGGGAGTTCCCCAGCCGGTGAACGCAAAGACGAATAAAAAAAAAGTACCCCACCCCCTTTTAATGTTTTTGATCACTCATTATAATCAGTAATGTAATGTTCCTTCAGAGAACCCTGTGATGAAGTGTGACAGATCGCAACCATTTTACATTTAATTCCTTGTTCCATAAAGTTGTTAGTTCAACCCTTTCAGTATCACCCTTTAAAAAAAATTAAAAATGAACAAAATTGTTTTCCTGTGTGGCTGCATGTCAGTCCTCAAGGCGACTCAAAGGGATCCAAGCGACAACACGGAGAGAGAACTGACCTGCAGGCTAAACAGACTAAGAAAACAATCAGATCGTTCTACAGTGGGTCACGGCTCACTGTGGCATGCACGGAAATTGGTAAGCAGACAGACTTGCACAAAAATTGGAATAAAGGAGAAACAACACACCCATTCATTGCCATTACCAGAAATCAAAACACATTTCAAGTGTGGGGGGGGGGGGGAGAGAACTTTGGAGAGAACAAACCAACAGTAAATATCCACAAGATCCCATCAGCAGACTTAACAGAAAGCCACATACAACAATGATCCTTTACGAACAGGGCACTGCTGGCTCAACTACCACGTGCAGTAAATAAAGATTGTACAGTCCCCACGGTGTGCCTGTCAAACAGGACCACAAACACCTCAGCACATTCTGCAGACCTGCCAACTCTACATATCAACTTCCAAAAGACACCTGGCCTAAAGAGCAAAGTGTGCAGAGCAAGCTATGGGGCACCATGAAGGATTTGCTGCTGACATGAGAGAGTTCACAGAGGCAACCTACCTGATGGTCTGATCTGAGCGTACGAAACCGACTGCAAAGAAGAAGAAGAAAAAGAAGAAGAAGTAGAAGAAGAAGAAGAAGAAGAAGAAGAAGAAGAAGAAGAAGAAGAAGAAGAAGAAGAAGAAGAAGAAGAAGAAGAAGAAGAAGAAGAAGAAGAAGAAGAAGAAGAAGAAGAAGAAGAAGAAGAAGAAGAAGAAGAAGAAGAAGAAGGATGAGGAGGAGGAGGAAAAGAAGAAGAAGAAGGAGAAGAAAAATAAGAAGAAAAAGAAGAAGAAGTAATCATACATTTTGTCGATTAGAGTAATACTCTTTGATCACTAATGGAATGTTGCATCAGGTTACTTCGTAGTGTAGTGTGACAAATCGTGAAACATTGACAATTAATTCCTCTGTAACTCGTTCATTTCCAAAGAGTTATTAGTTCAAACCTTTCTATAATTAACATTGTTTTTAATTACATGAATCATTTATCATTAATTGAATGCTGCTTCAGATGACCATGTTGTGTAAAGTGACCAGATGGTAGGCAATTTACAAGTAATTCTTTCTTATTTAACCTTTTCGACCCCAGATAGTTGTTAGTTACCCCCCTCCCTTTTTCCCCCACACCCTCGTTGTTGCACACCTTATGTCATAAAATTGTGTCACACAACTGGAATGCTCTGTCAGGTGTTGTGTGAGCAGTTCGTCGGCAATTAATTTAGTCTTCGGTAAACTTTACGCAAATCT